GCAGGCGCGGGGCGTGCGCGCTCCGCCGTGAGGACAACCCCCGCGGCGGGACAGAGCGGTCCCGGAGCCGCGGAGCGAGGCCACGTTCCCCTCAGGGCCCAGCAGCCGGAGAGGCTGGAGAAAGGTCTCATCGCATTTTTTAAAGCGGATGCAGCTCCAGGAGAAGAGGAGGTACTGCTGCTGGATACCCAGCCCTCAGCACACCAGGCTCTACACTGTCCCTTCCTTGTTTTACAAGAATATACAGCTAACAAACGGCGTTTGAAAAACCACCCTAATCGTATTAGTACAAAACCACCTCATTTATTGTCTACTCGTTTGCTACTAGAAGCCTCAGTATTTCTATCACCAATTGTGAAGTCTGCCTTAATTTTTGCTTTGCAAGTGTCATGAATAAAGACACAATTGGAAGAAAAAGAGAGAGTAGAACAAAACATACCAGCTCAGCCGTGGTAAGAACAGTATTACTCCATCACACGAACTTCAGACATCTCGACAAGAACAGCAATGGACTGACTTATTACACTGAGGGTGCAGCTTTGGTTTTGGCATCTTGTATGTGTATTGCAAATGTCATATATATGCTCATATTCTAGCTTACAAGTAAATTAAAAGGCATTTTGGGGAATGTGTTCAAAATTTTGGTGTCAAGGCTATGTCTCAGAAGCAACAACTTAAGGATTTTAATAATACTTTGTACTGTGCATCAGGAACCACTCACCTCTGCACCTTCTCTGATAAAATAGTCTGTTAAAAGATTCTCTTGATATTCCATCTTAACTAGATGGATTTATCACTGTTACCAATTACTGGAAATAAAAGCCAATATTACACTAAAAAAGACAAAGCCCCTAATTTGTTAAGTGATCACTGCAAATAGCCAGATTAAAGAGGCAACAGCTCCTGTGAAACAACGGACCGTGTTTTCAGAGCGCTCAGGACACACCACACAAACAGCAGGTATTTTCATGGGGTGAGGCTGGGACATGCTCAGCGTTACAGCAGGGGTCGGGTGGCTCAATCAGTACAGGCAAATGTACACCCGTTAAGTTTGAAATGTACTATTTATCTTCAGAATTTTAATGGAAAGGGAAGGGGCAGGATGCTGAGGTGCCCTGGCTGGGCTGGGGAGCCTCCAGAAGTGCCTCCCCTTCTCATTCTAAATCTGGCTTTAGGAATCTATTCAAACTCTGTTTACTAGATAATGAGAGAAGATTCATGTTCTTAAAGCAAAATTCTCAACCGAATTCATTACTGCAAGGAGAGCAGTTGTCCATTCAAAATGAGGATGAAACTAGTAGTTTTCATTTGCCCAAAGCCAAACCGGTTTCCCAAAGCTCTCATCGAAATTAAATATGAGTTTGAAGCACTTAGGATGGCCTCTTGATTATACTCGCTAGCAGACAAATAACTTCTTAAATACACTTTTAAATTTTATTAAATGTTTGGTAAGTTTGCCACTCTGCTAGCCAGTGTGATGGCAGACTTGGTCCGGCCTTGGAGCCCCTCCCTGCCCTGGTGTGAGAACCCGAGGAAGTGCTGCGGGGGGCACCCGGGGGACACCCGGGGGCCAGTGCTTGCCGCGGGAGGAGAGGCCGAGGGCCGGGGGAGGTCACTGGGGGATGGCGCAGCCTGACAGCACCCCCAGGGAGGCGGCTGAAGCGACAGTCGGGCTCCATCCCATCCCATCGACACACACTGGTCAGAAATCGCAACAGAGCAGGTTCTAACCACAAATAAAAAGGGAAAAGATATTCTAATTAAGCGTTACAACAGTTTGAACAGAGAGGTTATGAAATCAGTCTTTGAACAATTTCTAGAGCAGGTCAAAGGCTTGAGCAGCCTGCCCTGAATGCAGAGCTGACTGATTTAAACTGGACTAGAGCCCCCCCTCGGTCCCTCCCCGGGCTGGGCTCCCACCATAAGGAACCAGAACTTCCCGCAGGTGAGGAGATGTGTTGGTGGGGGACACAAGAGAAAGTGTGCCGCTCGCCAGCACAAACTGCTGCACTCACCGCTGCCAGCCAGCAAGAACACACTCATAAAAGGCAGGAAAGATTCAGATATTATAAAAAAAAAAAAAAAAGCAGCTGCTCACCCAAGCTATGCCAGGCTTGACTATGCCACGGAAGCAGCATCCCAGCAGATCCTGCACAGCCATCGAGGACATGGCAGCTCCCCCCCCGCGGGGTCCCAGGGGCCTCGCTCCTCCTCAGGGCTCTTTCAGACAAGATTTTGTCACCTTCAGTCGCAGTGAAATGTTCAGACTATTTGCCTCACACGACTATTTTCACATACATTGAAATAGTGAGGTGCATTCTGTGTACTTAAGAGATTAACAGATTTTATTGTTTTCTAAAATATTTTACAATACAGAGACCCAAACCAGTAATTCCTGACAATTTTAGTAACCGTCCTGTGGATGAACAATTATGTTGGTAAGTTTTCCTTGACAAAAACATACATAACATCCACCTTCTAAGTTTGTACATTTTGATTCATTGAAAATGACTGTGTATCTATAAGCTCAAAAAGCAAACGATTAAGTCCAAGACTATCAACAGTGTTTTATAATTACCTCAAAATAGCTTTGTTAGCTTCATTACAGTGTAGCTTCCTAACATAGCGCATCTACTCACCTGAAACTTAGGGGGCTTTTTAAACAGGAATCTGCTGTAATTTTACAACCCAGTTTTAACCAATGTCACAAACACAAACTGTTTGACATTACAGCTGACCAAGTTGTAACTGCAAACAAATGTAGGTTTTACAGTGTTCTGCTACAATAATCCATGTAAGGCCTAAAGCTAGTTTATGTTCTGACCTACAAATTTATCCACAAATACTGATTTTTGAGTATGTTATTTACTGTACTTCTGAAAATCTAATCACAGAATACTTTGTCCATGGTACAGTAATGAATATGGCAGGAAAGCAGATTTAAATATACCTATAATTTAAACTCTTAAAACAGTCTAAATCTTATTGACATCAAAAGGCTTGATAACTAATAGCCATGCTCTTTATACTTTGGAATATCAAATTATATGTACATATACACAACATAGATAGGCTCTTAATAAAAAGCACTTAGTCTATTTTACAGTCTCTGTTCAAAAAAATTAGTCTTCACAGATTTAACATTTCAAATCACCCAAAAAATCATTAGCAGTTTAAAGATTCCCCCCCCCCCC